TATGGCGTCCTTCGCCCATTTACTTCACGAATCAGACTGGTCGATCACTTGCGAATATTTCACATCGATAACGACCTACCAATGGTATGCCTCCGCAGAAAATCACTACATCCACCTTCAGTATCCGCGTGGACCTGATTGGCCACATGTGCCTCCATTAAGACCTGATGTAAGCCAGTGCAGACCAGGCCAAATATCGCACACTTCCTCATCAACATCTGCACCAGCCCTGAAAAATCCAAAACCATGCACCACAGCCAAACATTGGGTCCCCTTCATGCATGCGCAAAATGTGTTCTTGAGCTCCATCTGCATGGGGCTCCTCTTTGACCTGTGATTCGAAAAATTCGCCCAATTTTTGTGATATTTAACGTGTTTTGGAGGTGGCGGGCAGTTTGTATGTGGCCCGTGCGGACCTGTCGTGAATTAAACCTGTCAGGCCGTTCCACCAATGCAAGCCTTAGTTGATTTGCCGGTTCGGAAAATCACTGGCGGCATTTTTTAAAAGGGAGACAGTGAATGACGTCACCATTCAGTCCATTTTCCTTACGAAGACAAAATCTTCACGTCTGAACTTTCACGTCGCAACGCGGAACGAACGATTAGACAAGATGTTGCTTGCAGGGAGTGACCGGTTAACCGTCAGACGGCAATCGGTTTTCATTAATATCATCAGGGAAGTCACAGTTCCCTATTCGAACACTGACTCCTGTGGTTTTAATTAATTGTATAGAGAAATTTCTTACGTTGACGACAATATGCAAAAATTAATGCAAACTTATTAAAAACTCCGATTTCTGTGACTTGCAGCTCCAGAGGTGGCAAAGGACGTGAAAGTACTGGCTGTGCAACCGGGAGAACTGCAGGTCTCCTGGACCATCCCCGAACTGGCGCTCGGTAAACTAGCATCCTCAAGGGCTGTTGCATTCCTGAAGGAAAAAAACGTTAATTTCTGTTCTGCGAATGCTGAGCCCTACACCTGCGTCCTCTCAGAACTGCTTCAAGGTACCGAGTATACAGTCGTGGTGGAAGTCTGTGTCACTCCACCAGATGCCGAGTCGTACCCTGACTCTGAGTCGTTGCCTGACTCTGGCGCTCTTTGGTGTTCTACCACGACCGGCGTGCAGCAGAAGACCCTCGGAGAATGTGTGTTTCTCGGTTATTAAAGCACCTAAATCTTGCCATTTTTTATTAAGAGTGTGAAATAAGCGGAATTAAATCATCCGTAGGCAGACATCTTGAGATTTATATTTCCAGAAATGCAAAAACAGGTGGGTCACTTGCAGAGTAATTGCCAGAACTTCACGTTCTCTGGTTCGCTCCGAACGTTACAGGTGATAAAGTGGCATCATTAAGGGCTATTGTGATACTGAATTACGGAGGGGTTATTCAGTGTTCTCCGAATGTTTGGTCACATTCTCTGGTTCTCTTGAATTTAGCTCACACCACTGACTAATGTGT